GTATTTACTGGATGCACCTGCAGACTGGGCACTTAGCCTGTTGATGGGTTGCTGTTCTGAGCTTCCCCATTAAGAAGCATCACAGTAACTCCAGCCCTGCAGGCCTGTACTCTCTGTTGGCCTGGAACGATGTTCGAGCAATCGATCCCCGGGGGGACAGGAGCCACAGGCAGAGCTGAGTGGAAGGAGACAGAAATCTGCTTCAGCTCAGCTTAGCACTGATGCATTCCCTGTCCATTACCTGCAGTCCCCACCTGCTGTTTAATGTCTTTCCGCAACGCCGGCTGCCTGTATTGACGAGCCTTCTGGAGCCGCGGCTGTTTATTTGATCTGTAACATGATCTGAGTGTGTTTACAGCGTGGCAGCAAACGGTGGATATACTGAAGCATCAGAAGATGCAGGCATGAGATGTGAAGCACCACCCCAGAGGTGATTATCTTCAACTTGTCCTCATCAGCAGTGCAGCGTCTGTAATCAATGCCCCATGCCATGCCGGCAATTAGCACACTCAAAAGGGAGCACTAGTCTCTCTCCTCGCCATGGCGTTCTCACATGGCTTGTTTATCTGGGCTAAGTGGTTCTGCACATGACCTGCTGAGGCCACTTACACCAAAAGAGAGATTACAGAAGAGGTGCTTGAAATAATGGCCTCTTTTTTTCCTTCTGTCTCTTTTCTCTGAGTCTTTTGACTGTTTGAAGAGCAAGCAGACACTGCCTGCTCTTCTCAGCAATATCACACCTCAGACAGTGACGTTTTAACCTTTCAAGTTTACAGAGAGGAGACAGCTGTTTAGTAAGGCTTACTGAAAAATAAGCATTTCACCTGATCAGGCCTGAGGCATATAATGTGCTTGAAGATCATCACCAGCTGGGATATGATCAAGTAAAATATGTTCATGTGCAAAAATCAATATAATTAATGCTGATTTTAGACTTTAGAGCTTCTGCTCTTGCTCTCGTTCAAGACGTACGCCTTCTCCTCTCCCTCCCGTTCTCCTCTTCCTTCTGCTTTTGCTCTTTGTGTGTATCAGAGATCCTGGTACACATGTTCCGAACGAAAAAATAGTATTATGGATCTGGTGAGCTGTACTTTCAACGCAATCGACAAAATCTTTTCAACTAAACAACAGGATCCTGAAGAACCCTCATGTCCTGCCGAGACTCATGCTGCAGGGTACATTAGAGATCCTTGGGGAGTTTTTCAGCTGATGTGTCTTTCAGTTCTGTCTCAGGAGGACAATGAAGACGTTTATATAATTGGATTCATGATAGCAGGGGTTCTGCTTTCTGGCATTGGTGGGTCCATATGTTATCAACGTTTGAAGAAGACATCGGCAGCAGTTTCAGCCATGGCAAAACTTCTGAGTCTGTGTGAAGGTTTGGTTCATGCTACGAGTACTCAAAATCAGCTGATCTACAAGTTAAACCGTAAGATGGAAGCGATTTGTGAGAATTGCAGGCTACCTGCGGCTTCTAAGACTAGCCAGCATGTTGGAGTCGACCTTGAATAAAGCACATAGCACGGATCAGTGGCGTGGAATGCCCATAAATCTGACCATTTTGGATCTGGAAGTACCAGCAGGACTCAAGGCTGACAAGAATTTATTTTGATTCAATTCAAAAGTACTTTATTAATCCCAAAGGGAAATTATTTGTTGTTGTAACTTGTTATCCTCAATTCATTAAGATATGTTATAGATACTGATGGTTGTAGACAGGAAGGAACTTTTGTAAAGGTCCATCCCACAGTGGATCCTAAGAAACTGGCCGCAGATGCTGTCAGGGCTGTCCACCCAGACTCGGCTGGCCTCTCGGTTCCCTCGGGCTGTAGAACTGCCCGAATGCCGGGCAGAATTCCTCCCAGAGCGATGGCCACTCCTCCCAGCAGTCTGCCGAGCTCCTCGTCGCTGTGGTCAGCCAACTGTAGGTCCCAAGGGACGATCCTGTCCTTCTGCTGTCATGACCCATGTTTCCTGCTAGTTCCAGGATCTCAGTGGTCAGGCACTCAAGCACAGCTGGCAGGTGGATGAGAATGCATCCACAGAACATCCTTTTGGACTCATTTGAGATTTGGGGCTGTAGTTAAAATATTATTTGAGATGTTAATCAGCTGCTTGTTGGTTGTAGAAAACTGTCTTGTTGCCATGGTTACACATCATAGCAAATGTCTAAAACTAAAAAAGTTTCAGTAAAAATCCTTCCAGCTGCACAGCATCTGACACCAGAGGAAGTAATCGCCCCCCATTAAAGTGCTTTACATCCAGAAAAAGAGGAATTAAAGTTTCCAAAAGCAAAATCTCAGAATGAACGTAACAGAGCTGCTCCAACATGCAGCCACCTTGAGCGGCGCAATTCTGGGGATGATAACAACTAATAACGACTATTTAATTGCTGATAACATTCGAAGCGGGTGATTCTAGAACAAAGAAGAACAAAAAGTCTGCCTGAAGAAAATCAACAATTGTGGCTTACCTGAATATGACTCCCCTAAATTTGAATATATTACACCCATTCTCCATAATCTCTATTGGCTTCCTGTCACCTACAGAATTCAGTACAAAATTGCTCTCATTCCTCATTCATCAGTGTTTAAACAGAAATTCACCAGATTATCTGAAGGACCTTCTTGTTCCATATTTATCCACCCGGTCCCTACGATCACAGAACAGTCATCTCCTTCTCCTTCCACGAACTAAATTAAGGACCATGAGAGATTGGGCTTTCTGTGTGGCTGCCCCCCACATCTGGAACTCCCTCCCTAACTATCTGAGAGCTCCACAATCATTGACTGACTTTAAAAAAAGGCTTAAAGACTTTTCTTTTTCAGCAAGCCTATTCTGCCTCATGATCGTATCACTGATTTTATTATTGATTTAAATTGATTTTATCATTTATTTTAGTTGCACTCTGTAACACTTTGAGATATTTGTTAATGAAAAGTGCGTTACAAATTAAATTTATTATTATTATTATTATTATCCCCTGTTTGGCCTTGGATACAGGCCAACTATCAATTTTCTTCTGGGATATGTGTGAACTAAGGAAAAAACTTGGTCTATCTAAGAAATTACAAGATTTGTTGCAACCATGGTGACTCACATAACATTTCAGTGTCCAAACATCACAAAAGTTTGGGTAGAAAATCAGGTAAAATAAGTTATTTAATTTTTTTTCTTTTACAAAACTTTGTTAAAAGCATGGACTTTGTAATTTGGTTGGATCTTTGTATTTTTAATTGGAGCACTCAGCTTAAGTTTTAAATTGGAACTGTTCAAGAAAACTTTGAATTATTGCTTCTAAAAATTTTCAGAAATTTTGTTTTAGTTAACATGCATGTTGAATATATATATATA